CTCCAATTATTCTATTTTAAATGGAAGCTGAAAAAGTATATTGAAAATTTCTGATATTATGGCTTTAATTTTTGTAATAAATAAATAAAAGGATGACTTTTCTAACTGTCATTTTTTCTTTCTTTTCTATCACAAAAATTACTCAATAAAAACGAATGAAAAGCAAAGCAAAGTTTAATTCATGCCTTTTATTTGTATATTGCACTGAAATTTATCAATTCTAGTGGGAATTTTATTTTCAATTTACATTAAACAAGTAAATATTTTTTTGCTTTCTTAAAAAGTAAGTAAACTCGACAATTCAGTTCTGACTATATTAGAGCTGTCTTTGAAGGAAGTTCAAAATAAATTCCTTTTTAAATTAACTGACTATTTTTTGATTTCATTACTTTCAGATTAAAATAAACTTAAGAAATTAATTTTTATTCAGAAATATTAATAATTGCAGTGCTTCTTAAATTTCAGAATTTTGATTTTTGCGTAGTTTTTGTTTTTTATTATTTGTACAAATATTTGCTTTAAAAATTATTTGTATGAATGATTAATAGTGAAAGTAAAAAGAGTAAAATGCAAAAATTACACAATAATGCATATTTAATCACTTTATTGAAAAAAGAGTGCCAAGAAAATGAATATATTAACAATAATAAAACTGAATAATAATCGAACTAACAAAGTTAATAACAATTTTTTAGTGGCTTTTCCGCCTTCTTCATTTTTGGCTTCAGAAAAGCAATTTAAATAAAATGCTATTCAATTCCTCTACTATATCAAGTAAAATGTGTATAGTAGCATATAAAATTTTATTCTATATTATTTATTACTTCACTGCTAAGTAAATTCTAATATTTTATTTTAGTTATTTGAAAAATTATGAAAACATGGCAGTGACAGAAGTGAATAAATTAATAAATAAATAAAGAAGTAAATATTATTTCTTTGCATTAACTGTATTTGAGCTTAATCTTAAAAAATAGATAACAAATTTGATTATTTATGCAATTTAAAAGACATAAATAAATGCATATCACCTTATAAATGATTAGTTTTATCTATATTTTTGCAAAATTTTAAAGTGACTTTTGAAAACATTAAAGATAGACCAATTCTCTCATTATCTCTCACTTTTTAATTCTGAAAAATAAAAATTACGATAAAGCAAAATGTGTATGCAAAGTATTTTATAATAAATAAGTATTGTTGAGGAGAAAAGATTTCTCATATTACAGGGCTATTTCTCTTCAAATTTTGAAAAATGCTTAATTTTCAAATGTCTGCAAAGTTTCAAGCAACAATTGAAACGTAGTTAAGAAGGGCGAAGTTGAAAGGATTTTCTTTTTAAACTGAATGCTTTATCAATGCTCAACATTACCAATTGAAAAAACAAAAAACAAGACTTATTTTTAATAAATATTAATACAAATTAATGCTATGTTTTATAATTGGTTGATAAGCAGCAAATTTCGACCCCAATTTAGTTTACATTGGACTCTTCGTTATAAAAAATAAGCCTGAAAGTATTAGTGTTAAGTTACTTTCATTGATTGAAAGCTAGAATTGACAAAGTTATTATCACTGTCAATCTTGAAGATTCATTACACTGTTTCATTTTTTTATAATTAACATTTTGTGCTCTATCGTAGATTAAATGCAGTAAAGCTAAACAATAAAGCTAGTAGTAATAAAATGTTCAAGAGCAACAATTCCACAACAATAATAAGCAGAAATAACTTTAAGTAATTTTAAGTTTGTTAAACAAAATTTATTATTGCTTCCCTTCTAAAAGTGAATACTTTTAACAAATTTGAAATATTAGGATTAATACTGCTGACTACGATTAGTCTTAGTTGATTAATTATGCATTTTTCTGATCTTACTAAGAGTCTTTTTCTGCTTATTTACACATAAATAAAACAAATCATAATTAATCTCAAAATTTTTAGCATTTGGCACAGAATTGTTTTATGAAAATGTATTAGTCCAAGCATACAATCCATACATACTGATGTTAGATGAATTATCTTGATAATTGTGTATCACAAAGTATTAGTATATATTTACTTGCTGATATTGACAAACAAATATATATTTACCAATAAAAAGCGTAGATTTTTGCATTTTTGATCATAAAAAAGGCAACTGTAATTGTCGCAAAAATCGAGAAAATTTTTGCTATTAAGAAAAATCGCTCTACTAAAAATATTTTGCTAATTTATCACCAATATCCAGTCCACTGTATTATTTTATTTTTGATGTCCGTTTTTAATAGTACTCCCATAGACTTCATTTTGTTGCGATAATCTCTCTGATTTCTTTCAAAAAAGAATTACTTTAAATGTTAGACATTTTCTTGTCAAAAAAATTATTATTTTTTTCTATTTAAAATCATGAACTAATCTCATTTTATTATTCAGTAAATTCCTTCTCAGATCATATCGATTGCTTTTAGTATTTAATAATTATTGAATGATCTGCAAGAATTTATGATCTGAAAAGAATTTGTCAAAATATATTTTATTAATTACTGCTATTAATTACCAATATACTTTGGATAATCTAAAAAATACTTTTATAGTTTTGGATTTCTTTTCTTCCTCTCTAAGCCATGAGATTTCATTAAATGCAAACAATTGCATTATAGCTTAGTTTTTGAATGAAATTTTCGGAATAAGCGTTTATTTTATTTTTTTTCACAAAATTACTACAGCAAAATAACTGCATCAGAATTCATTTTAAAAAGTAATCAAATTGATTGATCAGTTATCATTTGATAAATCAAATAACAAGCATTGCGTCAATTAATTCTTAGAAAGCTAGCAAAATATGACTGAAAAGAGAGTGAAAAATTTATTGAAAGAAAAAATATAAATTCAGGCGAATTTTTTCTAAAAGCGCAGATGTCACTAAAATTTAGCATTATATATATTTGACTATTGTAAAATTTGTTATTAATTAAATTGCAATGTTTGTTTTTTATAAAAATAGTAATAATTTAAAATCAGGAAAAGCATTGTCTGCAAGCACACCTTTATGTATTATGAGATTTAAAATTTTTTAATCTATAAAACTACTGAAAGAAAAAATTTTTTGAATAATTACAACAAAATATCTTTTTTATTCACTGCAAGCATTTAATTTTTGAAAAGTTTTTGGTATAAAAATAAATATTATATTCTTGCAAATATTTCTCAAAGTTTGACTTTTTTTTGGGTTTCTAAAATAAAATAAAAAGTTATTCAAATATTCATCTTTTTATTAGCACACAACTTTGAACTTTGAAAATAAAAATCTAATGAAAAATATAAACATACAATTTTTAACTCTAGAAATGAGTTTAATTTTGTTGCTATTGAGCTTGTTACATAGTTTAGTATTAGCTTAATTAAATGTTATGTTTTGGCAATTGAGAGTCAAAAAATAAATGCAAGGTTTGTTATGAATTAAAATATGATAGTTTAATGATGAACATTTATCTACTAACGCTATAATTCATCGTAAAAGTTAGCAAAAATTTTAACGCTAACCCATGTTTAATAGCACGGTTAATGATATTACTAAGGCACAATGATTGATTTCACCTAGAACTAGGAAGTAGATAAGCCCAATTCTCGAACTCTCGAGCTCTCCGGTCACGGCTGCTATCATTTGCACGTTTAAATTATCTCTCTGATGGCGTGGAAGTTCATTCGCTCTTTGTTCTTACTTGCTCTTATTTTAACTCGTTCATTATTTTCTGACAGAAATTTCATTCGAAAAATGAAACAAAATTTATTATTATTAAGCAAAAACATAAATTTATGTCTCTTCAAAAAAAATGTTTATTTTTCAAATTACTGGTCTTATAAATAAGAATTTTTGATGGAAATTTGATTTAGGTCGCAATATTCAGCTAACTTTGGCATAATTCTGGTTCACTTAGAAGTAACTTTAGCTCAGTATGCTTCGAATCTTAATATGCATAGCTAGTTTAATGCTTTAAGTTGTATCAAATTAATTTTTCTCTTACCACGTTGAATTTAACAGTCAAATTACTGATTAAAAAAAGTGGGAAAAAAGTTATTTTAAGCTAACATCGCTTTGTAATTTTAATTTAACTCTGCCACAATTTGCATTTAATTTCAGTTATTTTCCTAAAACTATCTGAAATTGATATATTTTTTTATAAAGAAATTAAGATTTGGAGGTCAGTTTTAATTTTCGCTTTATTAATTCTGGCGCTGAATATTTTTTATAAAAGATAAAATCTTTAATTTACCTTAATTTATTGCACGAAAATTTTCTCTTCTCACATGCACACATTTTTAAAATTTATTCGTTGGTGGAATTTGAAACTATTAAAAAATTAATAGCTGGCAAATAGCGTAAAAAGTAAAAAGGAATTAAAACAGTAAAAAATTAAATGAGAAAAAAAATAGATAAAACTATGAGAAAATATTAAACGTTGTACAATTGTGAATTAGTTTCAATTAAGTTTTTATTGCAAAATTATCGGTTCCAAAGTCATTATTGATTATATTTATTACTATTTTACGTAGTAAACACATTACAAATTTATATTACGTGAACTCATATATCTCAAAAACACTTTTGAAATAGAACTTTTTTAAGCTGTTTAGCCTAAAACTTTTAATTTTGATTATATATTTAGTTTATTCAGTTTGGTACCAATACAATAGTTTTCTGAAACTTTTGTCTAATAAACAAAAGTTAGTTACTGATATTATTTTTATTCTTAAAAACGTTTTGACTTACAATGCAGGATAATTTATCCCTCTTTTGTTCATTCTTCTGAATTTGTTGTTTCACATAATAATATAATCTCTTTTCGTGTCATATTTCATATTTTTATTGATTGATTAGTATTTAATAATTTATGTATCTAATCACTTATGATCTATAGGCAGTTTTATTCTCGCCTGCAATTTGACAAATGCAAAAACTTTTGTCTGCAGCTAATATCATGCAAGTTTAAGCAGTTCAAAATTAATAAATTGGCAAGGATGAATTTGGAATACAAAAAATATCGTCAGTTCTTTGGTAATTCTTGGCAATATCGAACTCCATCATATCCATGTTATTTAACTATTGATCCCATTCAACATTTACCGCCAACGATCGGAGCAAATATTCTTAGAAAGCTCAGTTTTGAACAACGAGTCAGGTAGGTCATTTACATATACATGAAGCATTGTCATCAAATAATTAATGCTAATAATAATAATAATAATAATAATAATCAATAATAATCAATAATTTATTGGCAAGTCATATTTAATTGTTGCAAGAAAGATAAAGTTTGAAGATTAGTTAGAATGAAGTCATGAAAAGAAAGGTACTGATGAATATACTGGTATGTGTAAGTTGGGTGATTATTAACTTTGAGTAATACTGGTAATGAGAACAATTAAAATAGTGAAGGAAGGAATAAAGAAGTAGTTCGTTATGTGTTAAAAAATGTCTGGTGTCTATACATTCAACTCTGTTAAAATCAATCCGCTTGTTTTACGTTCTTCTAATACATTGTGCTGCTCACTGCAAATTCGTTCTGGAGGATATATGATATAATTCTTGAGCTGCGCATAATTAAGAGCTTCTGGGAGATAGCTTAGTGAAACTGGCTGCGTGAAAGTATTTGAGGCATGTTAATATAGTATTAAGAAACTCCATTTAAAAAAATGTGATTCAAAAAAGTAAGAAGTAAGTAAGTAAAATAAAGTAAAGTAGTACTTGATATGGATTACTTTTTGCTGACAACTGACTTCTATCTATCTGATAACTAATGGATTGAATTAAGATATGCCTATTATGGGACATTTTACGCAACTTTTAACATCATATCAATCATAGAACAGCACAGCCAGCAGTAGCACAGCTCAGATGCACAATTCGGAGTGGGAAGAAGCTACTTTAATCTTAGTTGTAGCTACGTTCTCTGTGGCGAATTGCTGTAAATTTAGTGCTGAAAACGTCTGTCACGATGTTTTATTCTTTGCGCTAAGTAAACATTTTTATAGATTTTATACGGCTCTTCTCTGCCCATTGCCTTTGGCTGGCTTAGTTTGATTTGTTTGGCGTAAATTACTTACTTTGCTTCGACTTTATTCCGTAAGAGATCTGATATATTTCTATTATATTTTTACTTGCACAAGGCACACAATTCTTTATTGCTGGTTCGTCCGGGTAGTACTGCGTGTATCTTAACATACGCAGTATTGAGATTCATAGAAAATTTTGATGAAGCGTAAATCTATGTGCATCTATACATATATGGAGGTTAGTTTTCGTTCTCACTTTATCGGTTCTGGCGCTTAATCGTATTCCGGCACTCTGGCTGTACTTGTCCTGGCACTTAGATTTGTTGTGCTCATCGTTTTCGTTTCGTCCTCGTGAAATCCATAACGAGTATCGAAGGAGGTGCTTTCGAGCGTCTTCTTGAGAACTACCGACTGGATAAATCTTTCGACATGATCAGATATACTGACCTCCTTCGCGTAGCATTTGTGGAAGTTCGTTTCAATCCCATCTCAAGTTATCACATACGGATTATTTTCGTCCTGCGGTTGATCCGCTCCTATTCTAATTGCAGTTCTTAATAGCATGTCGACTCTGATTTCTACAGTCTCATTCTTGACGACCTTCTGAACAGAATGGCTTCGCATGCGCGGGAATGCTTTCAGATTACGGTATTGTGCTTCATCTTGCGTGGTTTTCCGTATCGTAGCCATATTGATGAATGAGCTATAGAAGAGATTTTATTCTATTGCATTTTGTGTAGCTTTGCATGAGTAGTTTTCTTTTTTATTTCGCTATACAAATGCGCCTTCTGGGTTTTTAATACGTTTTCTATAGTAGGATTCTTTGTGTGGTTGTATCTAGTCTTTTGATAGAGCACAGTAATTGCTAAATACGTGTTATGAGCTTTCTCTTGCTTCAAAATCGCTGCCCTTCTGGTACATATGGGCGCGGTATTCTAGAAGAGCATTATTTAATTTGAGAAGCATACGCTCACTCTTGTGCTCAACATTATGAAGTCCACGTCCTAGCTCGTTCCTTTGAAGGTACAGTCTTTCCAAGCATGCAGGTTGGAAGTAAATTCCGTATTTGATTAATAACTGTCTGATATCGTGGTCTATAGCCTTGAAGTCTTCCGGCTCCAGCTTGAGTACCCAGACGTAATAATTTATTAGACTTATGACGTGCTCATTCACTGCCCTGATAAAGCTCTTGCCATTTAGTGCAGTTTTAGCTAACCGCTCAGTTCTCACTAAAATCTCTGCTTGGACTTTATCATAGCTTTCACGGGTAAGTGCATCATATATATGTGTATATATATAGGACGTGTTAAGCAACAATGAAATCTGTGACGTTTTTATTATCAAAACGAGCTTCGACTCAGCGCTGAGTTAGCTCTTGCTAACTCCTAATAATAACTAATCTCTGATTGCTTGCTTCTTTTTGCAATAACATTTATACGGAGCAAGAAAATAAGCACAAGCTTTCTCAACTGATCGCAGTATAATTCCACCTAAACGTGTTGTAGAATCCCTTGTGGGCATTGCATGAAATACTCATTCATTTATGACCTTCAAGCTCACTTCCCGATACAATTTTTCAAGAATTATTTGCAAGAATAAAAGCATATTTCTTGTCAGTATTTCCATTACTAATTACTTTAATTCAACTGAATTCATTTCAGTTGTTTAATTTTTTCACTTTGCTTCTCCATCAGTGCTCGAAGAACTATTCTTCACAGTTTCAGTTTCTATTTTTTGTAGCTCTTTTTTCTCTTTCTTTCTCTTTGAATCGTTTGATGCACTGAAATAAGCAGTAAGTGCATTTCTCTGCAAGAAGGACACTTCAGAACTTCATAATTACTACAGCATATCTATCCATTCTAAACTAATATTTCTCATTTTTCCCTCTCTTTTAGCTTCTAATTGTTCTCGCAATTCATAAGCTCCTTCTTCTCTTCTCAACAAACTTACTTCTTTCATTGGCATTCAACACGAATATTTGTTTACTTGCCTAAAAGTATAAATATGCGTGTGCGTTGTGCATGCGTGCACTAAAACTAAGAATTAATCTAACACTTGAAAAGCATTTATTTTTTATATTCTAAATTATTTATTGAGGAATGAGTGAGTTGTGAGGTACTATTTTGGTTTCATCTTTAATTTTCAAAAGAGTAAATATATTTTTCCAATGAAGAAAGCATCAGAGATTGCATGTGCTTCAGTGCCTGCCTCATCTGAAATCTCAAATGTAATATTTAACGTATAGAGTACTTTATGTATTTACTTTTTAAGTCAAATAGGTGTAAGCACTGCGCTTTTTCAGCTGAATAATTTGTACTCATTTGAAGACTACTGAGTGAAAATGCATTTTATTTTAAATTTATTTATAACTGTAATTCATTGCAGACTTGAATTGGTAAATCGACGTTGGCGTGAAGTCTCGTTAATGGCATCACGCACTGATAATCGGCCAGTTTGGGTGTATATTATATTCCGAAAGAATCACTGCAGCGGACATGAAAAAATGACTGTTAATATGAGTTTCGATGGTCCTATTTTTTGGAATCGTCAAGTGGCTTACATTTATTGTTGTAGCTGTCACTTCCAAGAACATGAGGTTTTTCTTGTTAGCACTTTAAGACAGCAATAAGAATAAATAATTGTAATGGGAAAATAATACAGTGCTACTACTATCACCAAGTAATGTTAGTTAGTAAGAAGTTAATGATAACATTAAGTTGCTGGCATATGAAAATAATTACTTTATTATGGTAAGATATTAATTAACTTTAATCATTAGCAGTAATGAAGGTATAATTATTAAAAGTAGTTTGAGAGCGTCAGTATGCGTTCCGTCATTTGCTTGCATTAAAATAATCCCGAAATCAAAATGGAAGAATACTGAATATTGCATGCTGATTCCAGTCTCAGTTATATTGTATACTTTGTTTCACTCAGTTGTTACATTTTTCATTCACCAAGAAATCTTTTACTTTTCAAGAAAGATTACTACAAATTCATTGAAAAAAGATGACAAAGAAATTAAAATAAGCAAAAGCTTTCACTCATTATTTCATGAAATATATCTTATTTTTTCGACAAAATGATCTTTATTATTCATTTGAAAAACTATATGAAATGTCTGCAAATTAAACAAGAGCGCCTTGTAGGCGATATTCTCAGATATTCTACGAACTTGTTTTAGTTTTTAGATAGGATACAGTTATTGCGAAGTACGTATGGTGAGCCTTCTCCTGCTTCAAAATCGTTGCCCTCCTGGTAGATATGGCGCGGTATCTACAAAAATATTATGAAGTTGGAGAAGCATAGGCTCACTCTTACGTTTAAAATTATAAAAGCCACGTATAATCTTAAAATAATATTCATGTCGTGAGCTGTCTGGCAAGTCACGAAATAATTCCAAATAGCCAAAATTGGAGTTGAAGATTAATATTGCAGCGGCCTTTGTTAACATTACTAAGGAAGTTGGAACACAGAGTAGAACGCGTGTGTATTGTAGACACGCCTGTGGATTATGCCTTTTTACCTGACAGCTTCTTCTCTTATTTGGCTAAAAATATGTCTCGACTTCAGGTAATTCTTTTTTCTAATCAGCTTTTCTTTGCAGTTCACACACACACTTTTCATACATTCCTCATTTTTGCATATATACAAAATAAACTTAAGTCGTTCCACATGCTCTTGTTTCAGTTTGCTACTCAAGTTACTCATTTCATGCTATTTTAAACTGGATTTTAATTCAAAAAGAGATTTAGATCAAGCCTAGAGCTATGAGTTTCTTTCTAATTCTTGCTAATTAAAATTTAATCTTGTGGAAAGCATAATCGAAGTCTTTCTCGAGTTTTATTTTGAATCAAGGAAAATACGATAGACTAGACTGGCTAGGAAAAGCCGTAAGACAAATTAGTCTAGCTAATCTAATATCAAAATGTTTTTTTAAAAACATAACCAAAATGAGGAAAGATGCATTTATATAGATTTTTCATTTTTTGTCAACATTTACACCCCGTAAAAAAGTAAGCTATTTTGCGATGAATTTATGAATGAATAAAGGACTGCTCTTTAAAGTATAAGGTAAATTTCATTGGAGGAATTGATAAGTTGCATCAATTACGTTTTTTGGTTGTTTTAGTTTATATATTTGCGTGAAATTGATCTCGAGAAAATCAACCGCGGAACAGTGGTTGAATTAGCTCAGCATCCTCAGCTCAACAAGCTTATAGTGCATAAATGTCGAAATTATGAAGTAAATCATAAAATTTCTGCTATAATTTAAATTATGATTCAAATTTTTAGCCACTTGTACTCAAAATGATGATTTTCACATGATTTTACCTGACTAGACAAGTTTGTTATTCAACTTGAAATCAGCACTGCTATTTATATTTAGTACTATCCGATAGCTTATCATTTATTACTTACTACGAAAGCAAAACTCACCAAACCTTAAATTTCTTCCTAAAATTTTCATATTAATTAATTCTGCTGTTGGTTTTAATTAAATTCTAAAAAAAGATATATTTCTGCAGGCATTTGAAGATTTCCACAATCTACCTCAATTACTAGTGGTTAAAGGGGATATCGTCGGATTGAAAGTGAGCGCTTTTTTAATTAAATACGTATAAAAATAAATATTTCCAATTGTGTATAAAAATAAATACATAATACTATTTATTTCTGTTTGCTGTCTTTTCAAATCACTTCAAATTCATTAGAAATAATTTATTTATTGGGTTTTTTAGTTCTCGTTAGTCTCCCTCAGATACTAATAATTGAAGTAAACGTGCTAATCTTCTATTATTCAGAAAAGATGAAAAGCTAAAACAAGTTTAGTTTTTATTTACTGAATGTGAAGATGTGCACTGCATAGCCAGAACCATTTCATTGATATGTTACCAACTGCTTCTTTCAATTGGAAATTTGATCCTGAAATGATAATTGGAAATTTAATCTGAAAATGATGACTGGATGTGTTTATGTGTATTACAAATTGCTTTACATTGTAAAAAATTCTTGAAATAATTTCTCAGAATACGATAATTTTATGCATTTATTATGCTAAAATCTATTTTAGGATCAAATTTCCAACTGAAAAATTTCTCATTATTTATTTATTTCAAATAAAATATAATTTTCAAATCTGAAAAAGTTTCTTCTGCCATAATTATTGTGAGAAAATGAGTTCAAATAAAATTTAACGAAAGAAATAATAAATAATTCTTGCATCCTAATCTGTGAAATTGTGTTTTATTATGCATAATCATGCAAATTTGTTGTTGCAGGCAATGCTTGGTGAATGCACTGAAATAGATGAGATGACAAAACTGCCTTCCCAAACAGAAGGCAAAGATGATACAGATGGATTATGGACGATTGATTCTGATCTCGCGGTATCATCAGAAGAAAGCATAACATCGTCTGCCTCACAAATCACTGCCATTGAGAAGAATATCTGAATCGACCTTATGCTTTTTTTAATTAACTGAAAAAAGAATTTCTGAATGGGAAATGAGAAATTTACAAAAGACTTTCACATAAATTCCTTCTGGGATATATCCTTGAATACTTATGCAACTGCAAAAAGTTATTTATAACACAAAATGGGATATCCCACGTGCGACTGAATTTATCTCAATTAATCATCCAGAAGGGAGTAAAATTAATAACGTTCCCTCTTCACGCTGAGTTGATTGATTGTAAATTATATTATTCTTGTCATAAATGTTCGTATTCAAATGTTTACTCCGTTTCAGTTGACTTATTCCTGAAGAAAACGTTCACTTTTCCGCTGCAGATTTATTCCTTCAAGGATACTTGAGTACTGTCCTGAGTATTTCTTGCAAGCATCTTTTTGAATATTTCCCTCAAGCAGTTCATTGCGAAAGATTTTTGAAGAAATTTAAATTTGCTTTAATGTTTTTAGTAGATTTTTGATTGTATTCACTTGTACAATCCATAAATAACCAATAATTTTGAATAAACAGCTTTACTACAGTTTGAATTTTATGCAAAAATCATTGTGTTAAAGTGCAAAAAACAATCTTCTAATTTATCAATTATATCCTAAAAAAGATAAAAATGAATAATTAATAAATATTCCTGTATCATAAATTAGATATAAATAAATAAATATTCCTATATCCTAAAAAGTAATGCCAACAAGCATTCTCAAGTATTTTGCCCCTCCATCAAATTACTTATGCATTAAAATTTCAATAGCTCACAAGCTATAGTAATTTTTTGACAAGCAGAAGTTGTACAATTTCTGGATTGGATATGAAATTGAAGTGCGGAAAAGAAGATATTTCTAGTTCAATTGTAGAACAGTACTGTTTGCTTTTGAAAATCGGAATCGCGAAGAAGTGAAATACAGAAGAGCGCTTGAATACAGAAATAACAATAATTGAGGAGATTTGCAATTCGCAAACGTCCTTCGTGACGTCTAAAAAAAGTTTCCATGTAATTTTTATTTTCAATAATATTACAAGTAACAGCCTATTCAGTGGCTAACTTAATGCACAAATGAATAAACAGCGCATATCCGTGATTACAAAGCTAAATACGGAAATTATTCTTCAATTAGCAGATACGTTGACAGATACAGACGAATAATTTAGCATGTTGTAGAAATAAACGGAGTCATTTTAGGGATATAGTAAATAGATAAATAGGGATATAGTAAATAGATAAACAAATAAATTAGTAGATAGACAGATCGATCGATCGATCGATAGATAGATAGATAGATAGATAAGATTAAACATGATTGAGATGTGTTAAGGAAGAGCGCTGTATTGACAAAATGGGAATGAAAAGCAGAACTGAAGAATAAATAGAAGGAAAGAGAAGCAACGTGACGTGACAGGACGTAAGTGGCATGTAGAGGGAGAGAGTGGAGAGAGAGGAGAACGGAAGAAGGGCGGTACAGAGCTCTGACAGCGGACGCACCGGTCCGCTGTCAGTGGTGTCGATGACGGCGGCGAAGTGCGCTGCTTCCAACAGCAAACAAGCAGACAGCATCTTTGAGGCGCGGGGTGTAGCGGCAGCATTCCGCATTTCTTCATTTTATTCAGCTCTGTTGTTAGCAGTGTCGTAATGACCTGAATGAGTTCCTGGTGACGTCTAGTTTACTTTTCTTTTGCAGCACAAGCGTGACGTTGCTAAGTTATACGATTCATCCTGACGTCTCTAGAACATTTTATTCAGTGTGTATTTATTTTTTTGCCTACGTTATTTTTCTACAGCTATTGATTGCAGTTGTTTGAACGTAAAATGAATAAAAATATGACGACATCGATATCTAGAGATGGAACGTTTAACAATAATCTCATTAGAGAAGTACGTCGGAATCCAATCATCTATGATTCACACCATCCTTTACATGGTAACGCAGCCAAGAAACACCAGACTTGGCTTGAAATTGCTGCTAATCTTAATGAAAAGGGTTAGCTTCTAAACTTTTGTGCGTTTTTTTTCTGTGTTCAAACTTGTTTAATACGAGAATATAACTTGCCAAAGACGCACAGAGTTTTGGTAGAAGTCGTATAAAAAAGAAATATTTAGTGGGAGCTGTGAAAACTCGCTGGCGTACACTTCGTGATCGATATACGAAAGAAAGACGACGTGTGCTGATGTGTGGTGTTGGGTCCTCGTTCTCGTACTATGCTGATCTGTGTTTTTTAGACAATGCTTTCATGAATAATAGGTTAGAGAGGTAACATTTTGCCTTCACAGGTTTTTTTAAAACTGATGTATTCACAGGATGAAAGCAAGTAATTGGATTTTCCCTGTGTGTTTATTCTCCTTTAACTTTCTTATATATATATATATATGGTGTTGGGTCCTCGTTCTCGTACTATGCTGATCTGTATTTTTTAGATAATGCTTTCATATATATTTTTATAAATAAAAACATTGTCTAAAAAGAATATTATATATA